CGTGTACTCAGAAACAGAAACACGCGCTGGGAGGGCGACGCGGGCCTGCCAGACACGAGTTGGATACAAAACGTGAATTAAAAGTTACCATATATTTTATAATATAGCAATATATTTCATATTTAAAATAAACTTATGCTTTCTCCTATCATTAAAAAACAGCAAGCAGTACAGAGGCGAGATGCAAATTCGTACTGAAGGTCATTGGATTCTGAGCACAAACGCTTCGCCTTCGAGGTGGGCCAGGAAGGCGGTCCCTCCGCTGCGCCCTGACCTGCTCGCCTCCTCTTCTGTTTGGTGCGGGGGGCGGGGGTGCAGCGACTTGTGGGGCCGCGGAAACATCTGACGAAGGCTGGTCCTGCCTGGGACCGTAGGCCTCGGCCCGTCAGCGTCTACGCCCTGCTAGGAACACGGCTGCTCCAGTCACAGTCATATTTGATTTGTCACTGATATTTTTGGCTATAAATTCAGCATTTCTTTGGGATCCGAACCACAGGTTGGTGTTGAATTTTGTGCTTTTCCTCCATCAGCCTGATTGGTCACATTTGTTTGGTTTCAACACTCAGTCCAGCCCGAGACGTGGCTTCCAGAACGCGGCGAGTAAACCACAGTCAGACGGCGGCACTTGGCACCTGGGTGTGGAGCTCAGACGCTGAAGCTTCGATGAGGGTTTTGTTCGGAAGGAACCTGGGCTCAGGCCGGGCTTTCCCAGGACCGGGCACACCCCTGGCCTTTTCCGCGTGTGCTCACACTCCGGTGCACCGAGTGCCGCCTACAGAGTTTACATCTATCTCAGCAAGAAGTCTCCGTGTTACTCGTCTGACGGGAATTTAACACTAACTTCCGCCTGCGCAGCCCGGCACCATTTCCCGGGCCCAGCACACTCGCCTCCACTGGCAGCCGTGCCCCCGGGGACACCATCGCCTGCGGCATCGATGGCCCCACTCTCACTCGGGGTTTCCTTTGGCGGCAGCAGAGAAGGAAGGGATGCTGTCTGGGGCGTCACCGCACCGGCCGCCGTGCCGGTGGAAGGGGCTGCTGGATGGCCGGGCGGCCCCCCGACGGCTGTGCGAGGTGCTGGGGGAGCGCCGTCGAGTCCCCAGGGCTGGCGCGACGGCCACTAGGGAGGAGCAGCCATCGGGGAAGTAGGATGACCGTCTAGAAGTGGGGACACGCGCTGGGATTTAAAGCAGTAGCTTACGGGTAGTGTGAGGACTTCCTGGAATGGTGGCTCTGACGCTGTGACGGCAACGCCCTGTGTCCTGGGATCACACGCAGGTTCTGGGGGGGGAGGAGCCGGCCAGGTGCCAGGCCCCCACCCCTCTGCTAATTCCTTTCCCAGCTGACGCGATAGAATTGCTTTCTGGTGACGCTTGAGCACATTCACGTGCGCCTCCCAAGTGTGAGCTTGTCGGGCCGCGTGGCTGCCCGGCCGTAAAGCCTACTGTGTACTTTGTGCTCAGGCAGGCTACCTTTCAGCTTCGCTTTAAGCACAGAGAAGCCACGTGTGACGTGGTGACATTACTAGGGCAAAGGTGCGGCCCGTGTTGGGACTTGTTCCTCTGATTCTGTATCTCTAGCATTCTTCCTGTTTCTTCCTTTATCCACGTGGAAATCACTGGAACTCTAAGGGGGGGGTCCCTCAAATATATCAAAATCACTATTTCTTCAAGGCTGTTCCTTCTTGGCCGTTAATAGGTACCGGCAGCTGCACCCGTTACTCAAGACTGGCCAGGCCTCCCCTGTGCCTACTAACTGATGAAGTCACGGCTCAGCCCGGCGCCTGCTGAGGCCAGAAGGTAGCGGGGAGCCCGGCCTCGCCCCTTTGTTCTCTCGAGTTAAGTGTTTTTAGAGATAATGATGTCATGACGTTGCACAGCGTGAGGATGGTAAGAGCAGTTGAGACGCTTTACGACAACTTACTGATGACAGTCAGACATAGGTGGCCTTTGATCCGAAAGGTGCAGAATTTTATTGGGACTTCAGTCTAAGGAGGAGCGAGCCCCGACTCCGGTATAATTTGCCAACTGATGCCATTTCCTGAAATTCCACAGAGACCGTGGGTCTTAAAGTATCACAGTCCATCCCTGACTTTCTAGTACATGAGGCTATAATATGGCTTAAGTGATGAGGGGGTGACTCTGGAGGTTTAATTCAAGTGTCTGGATATTTTAGGGGTTCGTAGGGTATTACATCTGGCACGAAGTTATCAGAAAAGCTGTGGGAGGATTCTCCCACCGGGTCGGCCTTCCACGAGTGGGCAGAGTTGGTTCAGTATTTGAGTGAGGTCATTGTGATTGATATTTTTACACGAGTTCGCACAGCCAATTCTCGGGTAATTAGACCTGCACCTGCCACGACTTGAAACCAAGAACGAGAAGGCACGGCAACCACTGCCTCGTCCGTCTGACCGTGGGGCCGGGGCACAGCGGGGTCATCCGCAAGGCAGGCTACGGGGAGGGGACCGGGGGTGGGGGCTACGCTTTGGGCGGTCAATACTGAGGTCATCAGGGTCGATTGCACTCACAGGAGAACGGATAACTTCCCTACACGAAGCCGAAGCTCTCGTCAGGGGCGCAGGCTCCCACTCACTGTTGCGAGATCGGCACGCAGACTTGATCACTTTCAAAGACAGAGTCCTTCGCCAAGGGACCGAGCCCCGCACGGCTCTGGCACTGGCGTTAGCTCGAGTCCTGCCACGATGCCCGTGTGTTTCTGGGAGGCCAGTGGCTCCTCTGCCGAGGGCTCCCGCTCCCCTTACCAGTGTCGCCCTCTTGGTCGTCAGCGTTCATTTTGGCGCACGGCGTTGATGGAATCTTGGGTGCCATTTACTGACATGAAGACTAAACCCCTCTGTGCGTGAGCATGTGCACACACGTGTCGTGGTCACAGCGGGATGGACAGGGCGGGCAGGAGGTGACAGGCGAGGGCGGTTGGGAAGCGACCGGGCTTGGTGCACGCAGGGTGTTCTGATGTGGTCTCCGCCTCGTGGACAGAATTAGTGCCGTGAAAAAGCTGCGTGGCTGTTTCCCCTGCTTCTGTGTCTGTTTATATGCTCGGCTGCACTGCCACTGACCGCAGGAGCACCATTCTTGGGATGTGACAAAGGAGGGTGACTCTTGGGTGAGCAGGAGTTAAAGGAACAAGCAGAAAAATAAACAGCCAACAGCAAGTGCGGCTTCGGGGAGACGCAAAACAACCGATGGAAGTGTTCTCGGGACTTAACGTGATGAAAACAAGACCATTTAGGGAAAATGACAGCAACAGAAAGAGAAAAGAGGAGGTTCAGCAAGAGACCAGACCTTCTGGAAACAGTGCTGTGGCTCCAGGGTCACTGGCCTCTTGCTGTCCCTACAAGGGATTCCCTCGTCCCTACAAGGCCTGGCCCAGTTTGACGTCAGGACGTTGGAGACGTGACAAGGTCCTGCGCAAAGGGAGGCCGACCATTTGCAAATAACACCCTTCGCCGAACAGACGAAAGACTGCGCACAGTGTGGTTCCCTCCTCGTGAGCTGCGGCTGAGGGCCTCACAACCAGGGGAGGGACAGGCCATACGACGGCTGTGTCGTGAGCACATGGCCGGCGGTCAGACACGGGGCGCCCACATGCCTCGCCTCAGGACGCCTGTCACCGCACCGGGTCTTGATGTTTCTCAGGTTTCCTGGGGTTTGAGACACATTCAAATGGTTTTTGCACCAAGATTAACGTGGCGCGGAACAGGCCACTGGCCCTGCCCACGGGGCTCCCGCTCCCAAATCCTTTTACTCCCGGAATCCTTTGTTTTGAGGTGGTCTCAGGCCAGGAAGGAGGGGCCACACGGCCCCCGCCACCACTCTTTCCTCTGTGCTCCCAACACCTGGAGCCTGGCCCTGCTGCTGCGAGAATGTGCACAAGCACAGCCCCGGCCAGGGCTCTCCCTCAGCCAGGTGTCACTGGGCTGCACCTGCACGTGTGCACGTGTGCAGGGACCCTGTGCCCTTCCCTCACACACACAACCCATCCCGGGCTCCATCGGAACACAGCTGGCTTGGACAGAAGAAGAAACTCCGTGGGGCTGTTATTTTTAGAAGGCCGCTTATCCCTCCCGGATGCCGACACTCCTGGCTGGTTCATCCCTAGCCGGGCAGCAGGGCGTGTGCCCAGGGGGAGGCGCGTGCCCGGGGCGGGGAGGCGCCCTGTATGGGGTCCACAGGAACCTGTGTCTCTGGGGAAGCTCAGAATATGCCCAACGCTAGCAAACCCTGAGCTGAAAGTGCCCACATTCAGATTCAAGCCAACTCCATGTACATTTAGAGAGTGCCTACTGTCTGCACGGTAAGGTAACCGGGTCCCTTTCTATTTCGGCCAAGTTCAAACAAGAAAAGATCTGGGTTGAATGTGAGGTGTGTGCATGCACTCATGTGCAAACACACAGGTTTATATGGGTATGAATATTGGATGGAAAATCTGGCTTTTTATTTGTCTCTCTCTCTTTTTTTTTGTCTAAGTCGGGTTTTCTGACTAAGGAAGGAGAGGAGAAAACGCCTGTTTTGGCCATCGCAGCAGCTCTCCTGTCTCTTGTCCAGAGGCTTCTTAGATAAAAGGCAAGGAGAAGGGTGTGCTCAGGACCCGGTGAGGAGCCTGTGTCCCCGCCTGACACCGCCCCCACGGGACCCTCGTCCCGGCTCCTTCCCTGTTGGCCGCTTCGGTGCACCTGTCCATCCCCCCGCCACCCCCCCCCCCACGAGACCTGAGATTGAGCGTGGATTTCGGTTCTGCACCAGCTCTGCCTGCCAGAGTCACAGCTCCCTGTCACCTCCTCTTCCTGCTCCCAAGTGGAGGCACCTAAACAGAGATTAGATTTCTGGTCTCCAGGTGCGCCGAGCCAACAGGACTCAGTCACTTAGCCCCGGTCTCTCTTCCTCACGTCCCTGGTCTGATGGCTCCTTGATGGCACAGTGACCAGGACAGAGTCGATTTGCATCTTAAGACCTATGGGTTATGCTTCCGGAGTGGGGGTTTATTTAGCAACTGCTGGAACTTGTGTATGGGGTCGGGAAGGAGGCGGAGCTGACCCCGAGGGGGCTGTCCGAGGGCGGGGGCGTGTGCAGGGTGCCCGCCGCGCCGCCCCGGGCCTCGGCGAGGGCAGACAGGAGCTGCTGCTGCTGGCGGAGGGCGTCGGCGATGAGGAGGGGCAGGGAGCTGAAGCCGGCCGCCAGGTGCTCCAGCTTGGACTCCAGGCTCCCGATCTGCTTCTCCAGGTCCTCACTGCGGTCATTGAGTTCCGTGATCAGGTCGTACATGACCGTCTGCATCTGGACAGAGAGACGGGCACAGGTCAGCACAGGCCAGCTCGGGTCAGCACCGCTCAGCTCGGGGGCTGCAGCAGGAGACAGACGCCCCCAAACTGCAGGGCCACGTCCACACCAGCAGGGGGTCCAGCCGACCTCGGGCCAGGGCTTGCCGTGCCCGGGGGTGCGGGCGCAGAGGTGCCGTGTGGGAACGGCAACAATGCACTAGGAAACACGTCTAGTGGGAAAAGCGGCACTTTTTCTCAGACCGGGGAGTCTCTGGACCGTCCTCAGGTCCTTAGTGACCTGACCACTTGGCTCAGAGGCTGCGGAAGCCTAACGGTCAAAGACAAGACCCCTCCGGGGCAGCGGACCGGCCACAGACTGGCAGCTGTGAGGCCACGGCTCAAGTACGGGTCCGCAGCCCCGGAGCAGGCCCTGGGACCCTCTGAACCACGGGCTCCCGACCGAACAGGATAATAGAAACTGCACGCGGCTCTGACACCATCGGCCCCCGCTGTTATCAGCAGAGTCCGGCGTTGGATGAGGGACCTAACCCCGCCCCGGGTGGTCCGCAGCCGCGCGGCCCCTCCCCTGCCCGGTCAGTGGGGAGGCGCGCACCCCACCGGGGCCTCCCCGAAGGGCCTGCCCACCTCCGGCTCGTCCCTGCCCCGTCCCCTTCATTCGCGAAGGGGGGAAGCCAGAGCCCCTCTCTCCTGGCCTCACCCCCGCGCCCACGCAGCCCTGCAGAGGCCTCCCTCAGCCCCTCCCGCACACCTGTCCTTGCAGGTAACTGACTCCGGATCACCGATGGCTTAGCTCCCCCGGGGCTTCCCTTCCGGGCTTGCCCCGCCCTG